ACCGTCGCAGTCGACCAGCTGTAGGTTGACCCACAATGCCATTAGGGAGGGAATTCCAGGATTTGGACCTGGCTACAGTGAAGGAATGGCAATATATTTCCAAGTCAGGATGGTGAGTGGCTTGCGGAGGAATTTGAAGGTGGTGGCATTCCCATGTACCTGCTGCCCTTGTCCTTCTAGATGGAAGTGGTCATAGGTTTGGAAGGTCTGTCTGAGGATCTTTGGTGAATTTCTGCAGTGCATCTTGTGGATAGTACAGACTGCTGCTACTGAGCATTGGTGGAGGAGGAGAATGGATGTTTGTGGATGCAGTGCCAATCAAGTGGGCTGCTTTCTCCTGAATGGTGTCAAGCTTCAAGTTTTGTTGGGGCTGCACTCATCCAGGCAAGTGCATCACGCTCCTGATTGGTGCCTTGTAGATTGTGGACAGGCATTCAGGAGTCAGGAGGTGAGTTACTCGCCACAGTATTCCTATCCTCTGACCTGCTCTTGTAGCCACTATGTTTATGTAGTGAGTCCAGTTGAGTTCTGATCAATGATAACTCCCAGGATGTTGATAGGGGGGGATTCAGTGATGGTAACACCATGGAATGTCATGTGGCAGTGGTTAGATTGTCTTATTGGTGATGGTCATAGCCTGGCATTTGTGTGGCGCGAATGTCACTTGCCACTTGTCAGCCCAAGCCTGGATATTGTCCAGATCTTGTTGCGTTTGGACATTGATTGCTTCAGTGTTTGAGGAGTCATGAATGGTGCTGAGCATTATGCAATCAATCATCGGCGAACATCCCCACTTCTGAACTTATGATGGAAGGAAGGTCATTGATGAAGCAGCTGAAGATGGTTGGACCAAGGATAATACCCTGAAGAACTCCTGCAGAGATGCCCTGGAGTTGAGATGACTGACCTCCAATGAACACAACCATCTTCCTATGTATCAGATATAACTCCGGACAGTTTGCCCCATTGATTCCAGTTTTGCTGGGGCTCCTTGATGCCACATTCAATTGAAAGCAGCTTTGATGTCAAGGGCTGTTACACTCACTTCTGGAATTCAGCTCTTTTGTCCAAGTTTGAACAAAGGCTGTAACAAGGTCAGTAGCATAGTGGCCTTGGGAATCCAAACTAGATGTCACTGTGCCAGTTATTGATGAGCAGGTGCTGCTTGATAGCACTGTTGATGACACCTTCCATCACTTTACTGATGATTAACGGTAGACTGATGGGGCAGCAATTGGCTGGGTTGGATTTGTCCTGCTTTTTACGCACAGGACATACTCAGGAAATTTTCCACATTGTTGGGTAGATGCCAGTGTTGTAACCATACAGCTTGGCGAGGGGAGCATCAAGTTCTGGAGCACAAGTCTTCAGTATTATTGCCAGAATGTTGTCAAGGCCCGTAGCCTTTGCAGTATCCAGTGCTTCCAACTGTTTCTTGATATCGCATAGAGTGAATTGAATTCGATGAAGACTGGTATCTGTAACACTGTGGACTACTGGAGGAGGCAGAGATGGATCACCCATTCGGCACTTCCACTTCACGACTGTTGTAAAAGTTTTAGCCTCATCTTTTGCACTCATATGCTGAGCTCTTCCATCATTGAGGATGGGGATATTTGTGGAGCTGCCTCTTCCAGTAAGTTGTTTAATCATTCACGACTGGAACTGCAAGAGCTTAGATCGGATCCTTTGGTTGTCGGATCACTTAGCTCCATCACTTGCTGCTTATGCTGTTTGGCATGCAAGTAGTCCTGTTAGGTGGCTTCACCAGATTGACCCCTCATCTTCAGATATGCCTGGTGCTGCTCCTGGCATGCCCTCCTACACTCCCCATTGAACCAGGGTTGATCCCCTAGCTTGATGGTAATGGTTGAATGGGGGATATGCCAGGCCATGAAGTTACAGATTGTGGAGTACAATTCCACTGCTGTTGATGTCCCAGAGCACCTCATGGATGCCCAATCTTGAATTGCTAGATCTGTTTGAAGTCTATTCCATTTAGTACAGTGATAGTGCTACGCAACACAATAGAGGTTATTTTCAACGTGAAGGTGGGACTTCAGTTCCACAAGGACTGTGCGATGGTCACTCGTACCGATACTGACATGGACAGATGCATCTGCAGCTGGCAGATTGGCAAAGATGAGGTCAAGTTTGTCTGTGCTCTTGTTGGTTCCCACACCACCTGCCACAGACCCAGTCTAGCAGCTATGTCCTTTAGGACCTGACCAGCTCAATCAGTAGCACTGCTGCCGAGCCACTCTTGGTGGTGGACACTGAAAGACCCCACCCAGAGTACACTGTGTGCCCTTGCTATCCTCAGTGCTTCCTCTAAGTGTTGTTCAACATGAAGGAGGACGGTACATGGTAATCGATAGGTTTCCTTGCCCAATGTCTAACCTGAAGCCATGAGACTTCTTGGGATCCACAGTCATCGTTGAGGACTCGAGAGCAACTCCCTCCCGACTGTATACCACTGTGCAGCCACCTCTGGTCTGTCCTGCTGGTGGACCAGGACATATCCAGGGATGGTGATGGTGGTGCCTGGGACATTGTTTTTAAGGTATGATTCCATGAGTATGGCTGTCAAGCAACAGACTGACTAGTCTGCAAGGCAACTCTCCCAATTTTGGCACTAGCTCCCAGAAGTTAGTGAGGAGGACTTTGCAGGGTCGACAGTGCTGTTTCCGCCATTATCTTTTCCGGCGCCTAGGTCAATGCCTTGTGATCCATCCAGTTTCATTTCTCTGAGACTTCGTAGCGATTGGTACAACTGAATGGCTTGCTAGGCTGTTTCGGAGGGCAACTGAGAGTCATCCACATTGCTGTAGGTCTGGAGTCGCATGTACACAAGACCAGGTGAGGATGGCAGATTTCCTTCCTGAAGGACATTAGTGAACCAAACTAAGGGCTGCAAATGGGATTTTGCTCTGTATTGTTGGGGGATTGGACTTTAAAAATAGCAAAGTCCTATCGTGATTGCACACTGTGTTGGTGGGGCTTAACCTGGCGTACTGCACAGTTTTAGTCCCCATGATTTAAGATAAACTACTGACACTGGAAGAAGTTCCATAAGAGATTGACTAGGCTGTTTCCTGGGATGAAGGGGTTGACTTACCATGAACGGCTAAACAGGTTAGAACTTTTTTCATTAGAGTTTAGAACAAGGGGGATGGGGGGGATCTAATTGGACATGCAAGATTCTGAGATTTCTTGATAGGATAGATAATGTTGAGAAAATGTTTCCATTAGTGGGAGAATCTCAAACTAGGGGACTTACTTACAGAATAAGGGGACACTAATTTAAAACAGATGCAAAAAAACTTCTCTCAGGGGGTAATAAATGTCTGCAATTCTCTATCTGAGAGTAGTGAAGCATGTATCACAAAGTATTTAAAGAGGGGGTAGATAGATTTTGAAATATTGGGCAGTTGAGGGCTCAGCAGCTGGCAGAGAAGTGGAGTTGACGTAAGTCAGCCATGGCCTTACAGAACAGCAGGGTGGGCTTGATGGGGAAAATTGCCTATTTCTTATGTTTTTAGGTAAATAACACGGCTGTAACATGTATTTCAGAGAAGTGTGAAGGTTACATTTTGGGAGGAAGAATGAGGGTGGCAATAAAGCTAAAATCATAATAGTCTTACCAGGCTGTATAGGATTGCTCTCGTTACTGCGAGAGAGAGCGAGAGAGAGATAACTGTGTGGTTTAACCTGAGGGTCATCTTAGGCAAGGAATATGGTTGAGGAGGCAAGTTCTTCACAGTAACCTCAGCCACTGCAGGAACTGAAGCTACACTGTTGGCATCTCTTTACATCACAAACCAGCTGCCTAGCTGATCGAGGGAGGGCAATATGAACTATAGATTACAATTTTACCAGTTTACAGGAAGAGGTTGGTAGCATATATACATTAATATTTGAGAATTGCAGGACAAATTGAAAAGTTTTTAAAACATGTGATTCTTGACTTCATTGATGGTGGAACTGAGTACAAAAGCAAAGAAGTTTAGTAGACCTTATAAAGACTGATCAGGCTTCCACTGGTGTATTGTTTTCAATTTTGGGAATCTCGCTTGGGGAATTAAGGTCTTGTAAAGGATGCAAAAGAGATTTGCTAGAATAGTACCAGGAATGAGGGGGTTCATTTACGTGAAGAGACAGGTCATTTGGTTACAGCAGAAGTGAACGGGACAAATTATATTTTAAAAAAAGAGATTTTCAATTCATGAATTGTTTTGAGGGGGTATAATCTATTTCTAGAGGAAAAGTATCAATATGAAACAGATTAATGGTGATTTACGAAAGCCAACATAAGGAAACTAGTTTGCTTTGCATAGCAAGTTGCATGATCTGCAATGTATTGCCCGAAAGGAGAGGAAGTAGATTAATTCTGTTTTCAGTGTTATAATTCAAACAAATACACAAGTACAGGGCTCTGGGGGAAGAACAAGAGTATGTGTGATTATTTGGATAGCTCTTTTGACATATTGCACAGGCATAATGTGCTGAATGGCCCCTTCTCTAACATTTCATTCTGTAATTCACGTGCATGGAAAAAGTGAGCCTAGCCTCTCAGGCAAACAATTCCAAAGCACTTGTAAGATTAAGCACTTTGTCTTTCATCTTGGTAAATTTTGAGATGCATGCATTACAAAATAAATACTGTAACATTCAAATAGTTTGTGTTAACTTGTTGAAGGTGGCATTAAGCAAATACTTCATTTCCAGAACTACTTTAGATAAAGAATTAAGTAGTATCTCTTTCCGAATTCAAAGTTTAAGACTTGTTTCCTGACTCCTCTTACATTGAGAGGTTGACTGCCATTCATTCTCACATACAGAAACTCTATGGTCATTGATTAAGAGGTTTTAAAACATTTCAGTTTCAGATCTGCACAAGGTTAAGAAAAAATGAGGCAGAGCCCCAAAAATGTTTAGATTTTAAATTAGATCAATTATTTGCCACACTATCCAAATCATTAAACACCAAAAAAAATCAATTTTTGTGTAAACATTTTAATTGTTATTGAATGTTCTACATCTTACAGTAAATATACAATTACAAACTCTTGGCTTAATTCTGTCACTTAGATCACTAACTGATCTTTTCCAAAAAACAAAATAAAAAAAAACAGAATTACACTTCATAGTCACAAGTGTAAACTGTGGGTCTTTCAGGTTCCATAAGTAACTTCTAATCTGCGTTATTAAAACACTTGCGTTCTATGAACTATGCTTGGAAGACAATGACATTTCCATAATTCTCTTCTTGCTTTATTAGTGTTCCAATAGAATTCAAAATAAGGAAGTTCAAAACTGTAATTGAAATACAGTAAAAGGAAAGCCCACAGACTTGTGTTCTGAAATGCTCCCTGTAGCTCAAAGAAGCATCCAACTTCAGTTAAACCATAAAGTTTTTTTTTCTATTAAGAATAATAAACATCAATCATTAAACAACTTAAATAACACTTATGGTAAAAAGCGCTTAAATTACATATCTGAACTGCAAAGGTTTCCTAGGTTATCTTTCTTTAAAATACAGGAGCAACACTCGTACACACTGTTTAATTTCTCCTATTCAAATCTGATATTCTGAAGTACTTATGACATTGAATTGGGCCAGTACAACTATTAATATGCATTGTTCAAGTCTTGCATTACAGTACTTTTTAATCTAGCAAAGATGTACAAAAATCTGTTAAAAGGTCTTGTATAATCATAACTGAACTGGTAAACCTGGTTATGTTGAACAAGTATCCTGGTTACTTGGTATGCTTTTTTCCCTTGTGGCATATAGTTGCACACTGGTTATGAGCTAAGCAGTCCAGAACAATAGAGCTAACCTTAAATACACAAGTCATCTGGCAACATCCAATTAGCCATTTAACATTAAAAGAACAGTTTATAACTTCCACAGTTCAACTGAATTTAAGTTTCCAATGTTAATTCTGAAGTATTTGAAACATCATGCTAATTTAAAAAATTTGCATGATTATTCAGTAAGAAAAGTCTCAGTCCAATTAAAATGCAAACATGTTGAAATTTGGGCATCAATTTTTCTTTTCAAACTTATGGCAAAAGTTTAAAAATTTAGAAATCTGATTTAGCTCATGAGCTTGTAAGTGGGAACAAAAAGGAAAATATACATGAATGGCAACATTGGTGTAGGTTCAACTGTTAACATACTCTGCAGCATATCAAATACTTGCAAAAGCAAGTCTGCCCAATAAGAACAATTTAGCAGGAAAGTTGTTAGGGATACTTCCAATACATATTTGTTAATTCCATTTAGTAGACAAACAAGATATTTTGTTCTTTTTGCAAAATCAAAGGAAATCCACATTTGAAAAGAATATAAGCTGAGAGTGCAATAAAGGCGAAGTTATATTTTCTAATCAACCTGTTCAGAGATGTTATTTCACATCTCTGAAGTAGGTGGGACTTGAACTCAAGCATTCTGGCTCAGAGATAGGGACACTACCACTACACCACAAGCATCACTGTTACCAGCTGTAACAATTTGAAAACAATTGTGATCTGCCATGTTTCATTGTCACAAGAAGTATAGCGCCAACTTTTTTTTGTACACAATTTTATGTTGTAATGGCTATCTTACACGTTAGTGACAGCTAAGTAAGCATTTTATATTTAATAGAACATCTGATTTAACAGTCATGGAGGAAATAGGAATGAGAGTGCAGACTTTTATCAAAATCAGAACCAAAGTTTGTGATCTGTGATGAGATGATCAGCTTATCTGTGGACAACAGCAAAACATCTAGGCAGCTTTTTGATAAAATACTGATCTGACAAATGGTGAATCTTTGAGTAAAGCGTTCTGATGACCAGCAGTAACGTTGCCTAAAATCAACCAGTTATATTTATTTTTAGCAGTCGTGAAAGGCTAGTATTTAATCAGTTTCAATAATTCCCATATAAAGCATATCACCAATAGTTAGTTTTTGAAAAGAAAGATGAATTTTTCTGGCCGTCAAGGTAATTAGTGCTGATAATGTACATTTTAGTTCTGGTATCCAGTCTCGTGTTAATTATTGTAGGGTAAGTTTTAAAAAACAAAGGTTTGCTGCAGAGTAAAGCACTCAAGCTCCTAAATCTATACCACTGCTCCCTATGTAGTGGCATCACAGCTATTTGAGAAAGTTAGGCACTGTAATCTTGTTCAAAACTTTAACCTATTTTTTCCGCAGTAGTGACAAACCCTATGATGACTCAGTGATAGAAGCATATTGGTGTAGGAAAAAGCAAATCATACTTGATTTCTTCACATGTGAAATCAAGTAGATTTACAAACAGAAGAAAACTTAGCAATGTACACCTACATAAAGGGAATCTCAATGAGACTATTGACAAAAAAAATAAAGTTCCATCAAATAAAATCAAATTGTATTGGAATGTTTCTTAAGTGTTCCATTGTATATGCATTTTCTTAACATGTTTAGTTAATTTGTGCTAAATCTGAACCTGGCCTAATAAAATATGGCCGAAATATTTTTCCCCAGTTAATGGATCAATTTAATTAAAGCAACTTCACTTACAAACATATCAGCAACATGAAGGGCAGTCAGAAATCAGACTGGTGCAATCAACTGGGAGATTATATTTTGTGATTCTAGACACAAACAGAACTTCCTTGAAGAATTACAACTTCTCACACCCTTAAAACCAGATAAATCAACGGGACCAGCTAATAGTTCCCATTTGTCAGTTCAATTTATATCAAACTAATAGCGGGGGATTCAATGTGAAAACAATTACCACTATACCACAGCCTCTTTGCACAGTATACTTTGTACCAAACCTGATGCTGAAGTGTTTCTCCTATTATTAATGCCCTGCAAAAATCTGATATTAAGTGCAGTAATATGAAAGTCTTATTAGGCTGTGATGATGTACTCATGATTTCTCATTGAGCCGAAATAAAATTTCACTGTAAAAAGCTACAAAACAATGAATTGTATCAATAGTGGCTTTGTTCAGAACTGCTTTCCTTCCATAATAATCACTGAAACGATGGGATCCTGCAGTGATATTTCTTCTAGTTTCAAGGTTGAATAGTAGAGAATGTTTAGACATCTGTACTTGCCAATTCTCTACTTTATAGCTCACCAGTTTCAATTTAAGACTGCTGTATTCCTGTTTCCTATCAATTTGCAACAACAGAATTTCTGCATATCCACTGCTTGGCATCTTCCCCGCTCTCTATTGAGTTGGACTGTTTCTCAAACAGTTCTACAGTGTTCAAGTTAAGAACCATAAAACTTACCCCTTCCCATTTTGGTGGGACATGAGTACTTGTCTACCAATTTGTACTTCATTCTGTAAATTGTGAAGCATAATGTCTAAATAACCAGAATGAAATCTGTATCAACATACTAATGGAAAACTGAACACTCAACCCAAGGTGCATTTTCTGAAGAGAATGGTCAGTAAAGCCCAGTGAACAGAAGAGTTATCTACTAATAAATTAGCTATTTGATTTAATCCATGCCATAAAACCTTTAAAGGGTCTATACCTAAAATTTGAACAATATAGCAAGTTTAAATAATGGGCCAAAAAGTGTTTGTTCTGGCAAATAACAATCTGGATTAAAAATCCAATTCAACCCTGAAAAAATGGATTAGTGAGCTCAAATTTTCAAATGGAATGTGGCTCAAAAATGTAACTTTAGCTGTGAAGTAAATGAATCTGATGTCTCAGCATACTTTAAACCAGCTTTCAAACTGGTAATTAGAAGCACTAAGCTATAAAATCCCATCTTTTGCAATAATCTCGTTGAAGAGGCATATCTCATCTGAGAATGCAGCAGATATACCCAATTGCCTACAAATGTAAACAAATATATCCGTAGATGACCATCTTAAAACACTTGCAGTGGAAAAGTATTTGATATTGCAGAATATACTCTTTCATACCTTTACATTTAGCAGAATGCTGCTCCATACAACTAAGATCTGTTAGGTTGAGATTGCAGTGGGTGCATATAATGCATCCACAATTATTTTTGGAAATTAACCACTAAATTTCTCTTTCAATTATGTGATCTGAACATAAAAATTTCTGCAAGAGCAGACTGTTTGAGTTTAATATATTTGATTACATTTCTAATTAAAATCTAGGTCTCATACAGCTTGTTTCTCAAAAATCAGTCTATTAAGCTAACCACAAACACAATATGGGTGTGTTATATATATTTATATATATACTCATGTATAAAGTTTTGTACCTGTTTAGTAGCATAGATTATTTTTATATATGTATTGTGCAACATAACCTAGCTTCTGTATTTTAACAGAATTCTGATATGTGGCCATTTCTAAATTGAAGGAAAATATATGCTTCCTAAATCTCAATTTGCTTTACCTCATACCCTTGTCAGTGCTTTCCAGTCAAATACATTCATTTCCAAAAACTTTACTATACAGGGCAGAAAGATCTCGCTGGACACAAATATTCACTCCCCTTTCAAAAATTTAAGCACACTGTTCCCATTCTATGTGGATGATACTGTCCCACAAATTCCTGTCGACTAAGACTTTCAGCGTTTTAAAGCTGCAGCATTCTTCTACCCAGGTCCCTTCATTAAGACAAGGATAGTAAAACTCTGCATGAATTTCTGTAATTTTACGACTGTTTAAAATTATACAATATTTAAATGATGTATTTTTACCTGCTTTCAAAAAATTGTAATGTCAGCTGATAACACAAACTGACAACCAAATTATCTTGAGATACTGCAAAACAAAATATTTAAAAATTCCAAGGAGCTCAATTTTATCATAATGCAGCAAGATTTTACAGGCTCATGGAGAAGCTTTGTTTTGTGAATCCAAATTTTGAGGCAGATCTGACAGATAACTAAAGAAAGCCAATGCTAACACATTTCTAGTACAGTGCAACCTGTATTTAGTATTTAAAAGAACACAATGCTGATTTAATAGTTGTAAAGGATTGGTGGTGGGGAGAAATGGTGCTCAACCAATCACTATCTTGAACAGAGATTCCAGCCAAACAACTCAAACAAATAATGCTGAATTAATTAAGTCATCCTAAGAATTCACTGCACTGTAGCATCGAGTGGAGTGCTCCATTAATTCTATATCCCTTTAAACCCTCAAAGCTTTCCTGAATTCTATCGTCAAAAACAAAAAAGATTAAAGGCCATTTCAGTGGTGAGTGTTAATTCTGATAACGCTTACATGTAACTAGAAAGGCTGATGTCCAAACTGCATGTTTTATGGTTGTTAAAATGCAAGATCAGAACGTGCAAGAACACCAACATATCAGATTAAAGAGACATAGTCACTGTTCTCTTTAATACTGAAGAATGTATTTCCCTTCCTTGACATTTGATGCATCATGTTCAAATTGGGCTCATTATTTAAATTTCAGTATGGATCTTAAGATCTCAGTAATAGAAATGGTGAAACATGCAATTTTTTTTTTATTTTTTTTTTAAAAAGAGTGACATGTATTCTCACCATGGAAGAGGCCTTTTTGGCCACAGCCTTGCTAGTGATAACACATTGGTCTGAAACAATTTTGAGTAGCTATGATGGAAAAGACCTTAAATGAGGCAGAAATTTGGAGAAAAAGCAGCTTTTACAAAATAAAAACACTAAATGATGCATAAAGTGACCTTTGCACTTTGTTCTTGCAAACAGATTCGGTGCCATGTGGCTTCAATGCACAAGCACCAACGTAAGACTTGAGTAGTTGCATACAATGTCTGACTCCAGATCTGCAGAAAGATAAAAATAAACCACAACTTTAAACCATACTTATAATGAGAAATGGTTACTTTGAATTCAATTAATCACCATTCACATTGAGAAAACTATTCCGGATGTAACTCATTTTATTGTGCATATATTTTCAGTAAAACTATGATTTCATGAAGTTTTATTTACAATTTAGTACTTAGATTGTAAAGGCCTGGTCTTAAATTCTAAAACAAAGAAATGTGGAGATCTGAAACAAAAACAGAAATTACTGACAAACTCAGCAAGTGTGGTAGCACCTTAGGAGAGAAAAGAGAGTTAACGTTTCGAGTTCAGTGATGCTTTAGAATCATTCTGAAGGAGGATCACTGGACTCGAAACGTAACTTTGCTTTCCTCTTCAAAGATGCTGCTGGACCTGTTGATTTGCTCCAGCAATATTTTGCTTTTGAGAAATATAGATATTGTACAAACCAAGCAAACTAACATAGTAAAAGCATTCTTAAAACAGTACAAAAATCATAAGATTAGTTGGTTAATGATAACCAAAAGAGCTGAAAAATGGATTAAGACAAAACTTGCTGACAAGAAACAGACTGACAAAAAATGAAGTACAGCCAGAGGGATCTAATTTAGAAATGCCAGTTGTCATTTAATGTGGATCAGTGTAAGGTGATGAGACTGAGAAGCAGAACTTACAGTTGGGGTAGTAACATTTACATAGCATCTGCAAATAAGTGATTGCAGACTGCTTTACAGGAGCTTAGCCAGAAAAAGAAGGAATTATTAGCATGGATAACTAAATCCGTTTTAAAGAAAAGTCTTAAAGCAATGGAGAGGTTAAAGAGATAATTCCAGATATTATGACCAATACAGCATAATACATGCTACTATTGCAGGAGGAGTGGGATGAGGGAGGAAGTTATGCAAATGAGCAGAGTTGGGGAAATAGAAGGTTACAGCAGGAAGAGCCTAGCGATAAGTCAGGATGAGGCCATAGAGGGATGGATAAACAAGGGTGATCATTTTAAATTCAAAAACTTTGGTCAAACAATGCCCATGTAGTTTAGTGAACACAGCAGCAATGGGTGAGCAGGTTTCGATGCAGATTAGTACATGGATATCAAACTTTAGATGAACTCCAGTTTATGCACAGTAAAAAATGAAAGACCAGCTACAACTGCATTAAATAATCAAATCAGTGGGTAAAGAAACATGCAGGGAGGCTTCAGCAGCTGATAACAGGCAGCATGGTGGAGTTTGATGAAGTTAATGTGGTGGCCAACAGAATTTTTTCATGATGGAGAGAAAAGGGACTAGGAAGCAGGTCAAATTGAACACGTTATTAATATTCTGCTTTAGCTCAAGGCAATCAGAAGGGGCACGTTACACTTTTGCCATAAATTGATGCCAAGGAAAACTGGGAATTTTTGTACGGCAGGAAAAAGAAAATGTAAGATCAAGTGAAACAACCTCAAGCATGAAGTTGATGCCCATCTTGCATCCTCATCTGTTAAAAGGATCAATCATAGAGGGTTAGGACATTTATTTCTAAAACGTTGTTTAAAAATCAAAAACCTTTGTTAATGACAATGCAAAGTCTCACTGCAGTAAGCTTCCGCTAAGGATGTTTTAGTTCACCTCAAACACAACCAGGCGTGAAAGAACTTCATACAGCTTCCAGCTGTAAATTAAACTATACCTTTTGCATGAACATGTGATTTGCCAAATTCTATACAGAATGAGTTCCAAAATAAGACATTTAAGTCCTTCAACTCAAAGGAAAAAACCCTCAGTTATTTCAGATTTGAGAAAAGCAGGGACGATCTTCATGTATGTACTATTTAAGAGTGTTTTCAACCTGTTGGGAACTTGGAGTACCTCATTTATCTTGAATCAAATCTCAAAGTGCTTTACTTGGCATGATTTGGGAAACATTAGCTCAAGTGTTGTACATCTTTCCTTAATACGGTAGTGCTGCATCACACAATTTACAGGACATTATAATAGGAGGCCAGTCAGTCTACAACACTGACATCAGCTCCTTGAAAGAGTTATTCAATTCATTCCACCTTCTTGCAATTTGTTTCTAAACCATTGAAAAAGCTCTTCCAACTCCCTTTAGAAATCATTGAGGTGAGATTATTGCTCTGGACATCAATACCATATTTCACTGGGTGTGGCATCAGGTAGCCCTAGCAAAACCAGAATCAATGGGAATCAGTGGAAAAACTCTGCAAAGTCATACTTAGCAGAAATGAAAGTGAGTGATTGTTTGTAATCGAGGCCAATCATCTCAGTACGAGTACATCAATACAGCAGTTCCTCATGCTACTGAGCTGGACTCGGCCATCTTCAACTCTTTCAAAGTCTACCTCCATCATAAGGTCAGAAATGGGGATGCTGTCATGATTTCCTTTATTCATTCACAGGAAGAGGGCGTCGCTGGCCATCCCTAATTGCCCAGAAGATAGTCAAGAGACAATCACATTGCTGTGGGTCTGGAGTCACACGTAGGCCAGACCAGGTAAGGATGGCAGTTTCCTTCCCTAGAGGACATTAGTGAACCAGATGGGTTTTTCCCAACAATTGGCAATGGATGCATGGTCATCGTTAGACTTTTTTTAATGCCAGCTATTTATTGAATTCAATTTCCACCATCCGCCGCGGCAGGATTCGAACCTGGGTCCCCAGAACATTATCTGGGTCTCTGGATTAACAGTCCAGCGATAATACCACTAGGCCATCACCTCCCCATCTGCACCATTTGCAACACTTTGTTTATTGAATGACTGCATCCATATGCAGCAAGAGCTGAGCATCATTCAGGCTTGGACAGATAAGTGGCAAGTAACATTCACACCACGCAAGTGCAAGAACATTGACAGCCTCAATCATGAATCAGTAACCATTTCTCTTTGACTTTCAATGGCACTACCAATGCTTTTTTCTTCCCCACTATTGATACCATGGGGGTAACCATTGACCAGAACTGAACAGAACCAGGCATATAAATCCCGTAGCTATGAGCAAGCCAGAGAATGGGGAATTCAGCAGTGAGTAACTAATCTCTCGAGTCCTCAGTTTGCCCGTCACTGCAAGGTACACGTCAAGAGTGTGATGGAATATTCTCCATTTGCTTGGATGAATGAGCTCCAACAACAGTCAAAATGCTGATATCATCCATAATGAAGCAGACCACTTGACTGGCATCCCTTTACCACCTTACACATTCAGTTCTTTACTAGTGACACAGTTTAGATGCAGCTCAGCAACTCACAAAGGCTCCTTTGACAGCACCTTCCAAACTTGTGACCTCTACTATCTAGAAGGACGAGGGCAAGAGATACATGGGAACTCTAGAAACTATACGCTCACCAACACCACCATGCACCCCAACCCAACAAGCCACATACTACAATGACTTGAAATAAATGTATCTTGGTTCCTTCCTGTTGTCAAGTAGAAATAAATGGGTCATTTTCCAGGTGGCAGGTAGAGAATAGTGGTGTACTACAGAATCAGTGCTTGGGCCAAGTTATTCTCAATATATACAATGACTTGTATGAGGTATCCAAATGTAATATTGAGCGCTGCGAAGAGAATGCAGGGAGGCAAGTTGAGTATGAGGGCAAACACATGGTAGATGCAGCAAAGCATGGATAAATGCAAAGTTGTACACTTCAGTGTGAAAAACAGCAAAGTATTAAGTGGTGATATATGGGGAAATGCAGATGTACAAAGGAGTCTGAGTGGATGGCTCAGCAGGCAATAAAAGTAAACAGACAGGTACAGTGTGCAATTACAAAGGCAGATAGTGAGTTGGCTTTCATCGCAGGAGGATTTCAGTTCAAAAGTAGGGATGTCTGACTGCAGCTATAAAAGGTCTTTAAGACTATACATGGAGTAGTGTGCGCAGTTTTGGTCTCCCTACACAAGACAGAGCATAGTTGCCATAAAGGAAATGCAGCAAATGTTCAGTGGGCCAATACTGGGGATGGCAGAACGTAGAACAGTACAACGCAGGCACTTGTTTCATTATTTCTTCCTTAGTCGATTGCAAATGTTTCCTCATCTCTAAATGGCCTACTCTGTAATCCTTAAACTATGACTGTGGTTCTAGACTCCTCTGCCAGGGGAAACATCCTCCTTGTTTCTACTCTGGCTAGCCCCGGTAGAATTTTACATTTCTTTCAGATCCATCCCGTCCCATCTCCACCATCAACTTCCACCCCCCACTCCTCAAAAGAATAAAACTCATTCTTCTAAGCTCTAGTGATTACAGACCCAGTCAAACAAATCTCTCCTCATACATAGGAGACAGACAGCAGTGTGGAGAGGTGCTTCTCTGAACCTTCCTCACTATCCACAACTCCTCCAATTTTGGTGTCAGCTGCAAAATTATTAATCAGACCACTTATATTTTCATCCAAATTATTTATATAAATTACAAAGGCCACACCATGTCTATGCTGACCATGATGCCATTCTAAATTAATCCAATCTGCCTGCATATGGTCCATATTCCTCTATTACCTACCTGCTCATGTGTCTGCCTAAATGCATCTTAAACGTTGCTAGTGTACCTGCTTCTACCATCTCCTCTGGCAGCACATTCCAGGCACCTACCACCTTCTCTAACAAAAAAAACCTTCCTTGCTCCAGTACTTCCAAATGTGGCCTAAAGTCATACGCAGCTGCAAGATGACTTGCCAACTTTTACACTCAAAGCCCCAACCAATGAAGGTAAGCATGCCATACATTTCTACCATTTTATCCACTTGTGTTGCCACTTTCAGGGAGCTATGCTATGGACTTGCACCCCAAGATCTCTCTGTGCATCTATACTTCTGAAGGCCTTGCCGTTTACTGTGTACTTTCTTCTTGCATTTGACCTCCCATAATGCATCATTTCATACCTGCCTGGATTAAACTTCATTAGCCATTTCTCCACATAACTTTCCAACTGATCTATATCCTGTATCCTTTGAAAACCTCTCACTATCCACAAGTCCACCAAG